CGACCAGGGTTGACTTAACGGTGTCGGAGCTAACGTAGAGGGCTGACCTGTGAAACTTCATTCCTGACTTCAATGGGCTGTGTACCATCGGGATCCGCACGCACAAACAGGGAGTGGGAACCCTTGATGCTGGACTCGGAAACAGCTAAGCTTTCCAAAGATCCGTATTGACATGTCCTCCGCTACAAGTAACCTGAATCCTTTTTGTTTTTGGGAAGGACTTGGAAGCTCACATCGGCCTCCTTCGGGATGAGGTGAAGGCCCGTCAGGACGCAAGCGCTTTGTTTCCGTTCTGTCAGGAACATGGATTGGACAAATCCGGGAAGAGCGAAAAATGATTTGCCGCTTTTGGAACTTGAAAGACATTGCCGAAAGTTGAGAGAGCGAACAGATGGTACGCTGTACGGTGTACGATAATGCCTGTTGAGCATTGGGTGGAGCTGATGAAAGAACCGTAGGCCGAAAACTCTCAGGCACGGCCACGAAGGGGGAAAAGGTAACATCAGGCATGTCCACATGCAACGAGCGCCTGCCACTGTCAGCCGGTTGTGTGGAAGGCCCTCATATCGATGAGTCAGTTCAGAAAAAGGAGAAGGCGAGAAGCGAATGCACATGGTCCATCCAGGTGGCTAGGCCAGGTGGACTTCCGGACAGTAATTGCAGTCGCTGAAGTGTACCACGATCGCCGTTGAATTTTGAGAGTGGGCAGCAGCTTGAGATGCGAAGCTTCGCCCGCTTTCAAAGCCCCGTAGTGTTTTTCCAACTGTCGGCTTGGCGTCTCCTTCTTGGCCCGGTGTCGTTCTTGCCAATGCTTGGTTCCTTTTTTGTACAGGTTCGAATTTTCTGAGCACTCTTATTCCGCTGGGTGCAAGGCCACGGATTTGCAAGCCTCTGAGCTGAACGATGCCGTCTCCAGGACCTGTTGAACGTTTGCCCAGTTGCGTGTGTGTGTGTGTGTGTGTACCGCGAGACTCCACAAAGAAAGGACGGCAGAGCAATGTTCAGGTGCAGTGGAGCTGCTGGAGGCGTGGAGCAGAGCATGGCTTTCCTGCCGGAAAGCGCAGTCTGCAGGAGCAGCTAAAGGAGCAAAATGCAGCCGCAGAGACAAGATTGGAGGAGCGCAAGAGAGAAACACTGTTCTTGTGCTCTGCACGTGTGATCGTGTCTTTCATGTGGCTGACATATTGAGTCCGGCAGATCAGGAAGCTCGGCAGAAAGTCCAGGAGCTCTCTGACCGGTTGGTCAAGCATGAAGAGCATGTCGAGGCAGCAATGGGCCATCGGGCCATCGGTACAGATGATGAGTAGCACTTTCAGGGGGGGCTGTCAGTGACTTGACAAGTTCAGGCTCACCGAAGTGCTGGCATGGAATCAGACGGTGAGGCGCGTGAGGCGCGTGGGCCGCACGGGAGATTGCACATCTTGACCTTGGATAGATCAAGAAGCTGGGCTGCAGGCTCTGCCACATCTCAAAGAAGCTCTGGAGTCCCTGGAGCGTCAGGCAGTGAGTTCCGATGCTGCGCCTTTCCAGCATGACAGCTTGCCGAAGAGGCCGAGATCCTGGCGCGACACGACTCGGAGCTCAACGACATGCGAGGGACGAAGGCAATCAAGGAGGCAGGAGCCAGGGTAGCCTGAAGTTGATGGTCGGAAGACAGTATGTCTTGGTGATCCCGAAATCATGCACTGACCAGATCTGCGACATGTTATAGTGGAATGATGTCATGTGTGATGCTTGAGTTTCTGTGACGCATCAACCTTGTGTGAGTTTGCGCAAGACAAACCGTGCCTCCAAAGTATTCATGGGGTGTGCGAGGCAACAAGCCGCTTGTCATCCACTTTGCCGACTGAAGCGGAGAACAAGCTTCCCGGCGTCACGCGATTCGGGGTGGCAGGGTACAGCAACAAAGCCATGCCGACATTCGCCTGCTCCCTGCCCCATCCCCTCCAGCACGGGCAGCAGCGGGAGCAGCAGCAGGAGCAGCAGCAGTGCAGGCACCTAAGGTATCGTGTTCGCTGCTTGCTGGCTTGTTCAAGCTGCGTTTACAGAAGCGTGCAGGAAAACCTGTTCTTTACCGCTACACCGGCGTTTATCCTGGCCTACAGTGTTGCCAGTCATGCAGAATGTAGAATGCAGATTAGCGTGGATGTGTCCTCGTCTGGCCGTTGCGATTGTTGTCAGAAGTGGCGTCTAACACGAGGATTCGTGTTTCGGTTGTCGTGTGTGGTAGCTCATGGGAGTCGTACCTTTGTAGATAGCAATCTCCCAACAGCACACATCATAGCAAGACCAGCGATAGGAAGGAACATGATGGACAGGAGGCCATGCACAAAGAGCAGCAGTAAGCCTCGTCCATCGGAATGCCACATTTCCTGAGGTTGCTTGGGCGAAGCACACAGGAAATTTCACGGCAGCTTGCTTTTCATTAGCAACTACATTGGCATCTTTGCGGTCGATTTTGCAAGTGCTGCCTGGAGGAGCGCAGTGATCTGCAGGCCGGGCAGGGCGACAAGTACCGGCTGCCCTTGGCGATGGTGGATGCAGTTGCCCGTTGCGCTTGCAGGTCTATTCCGACAGAGCAGAGTGGCTCGTAGCTTAGACTCAGTCTCGATTCATTTTATTCGCCTTGAGTTCGTTGAGCCACTGCAGTAAAAACGCTCCGAAGCCCTGTTCACGCTCGCGCATGCGCTGCATTAGGGGGAAGCGTTGTGTATTGCAAACATCATTAAAAGCACAACATTGCCATTGATTTCGTTGGGTGTGGAAATCACGCGATTCTGCGTCAAAACGCATCAAACTTGAAAAATCGCCTCAGCGCAGCTGCTACAAAAGTGTCTTAAAGGCATGCAGATGCTGACATATTGAATTTTGTTCGGTCCATTCGTGGACGGGTGTTTGTCAGAAAGTGGTACAATCCTCGAGGAATTTGAGCTTCCGATAGCTTCCGACGTTGCTCGAACAAGAAAAATCCACTAAGTTGGAAAAACCATAAAATCGGATGAGTTTGAATGGCGAAAAACCAGGACACATTGCAGGGGGCACAGCGGTCATTCCCTAGCCATGCCTATGAAGCTATGGGAACGGACTGGCACGGAAACCTGCATCTCATTTCCCATCATCATCCAAAACGAGGTTTGTCAGGCTGTGATTGAGTGCTCATGTCTATGCGCTTGATGCCTGCATGGTTTCTGCAATCTGAAAATGCTTCTACATGTACTAAGATTCGACATGATTGCATTTGCGGACGTGCACCAACAATCAACGACCCTGTTTGTCGTCGTCCACATAAGCTTGGGTCTCGCTGTACCGGCCAGACATGTATTTTAAAAGTTGTGTACGGTACGAGCTCCCTCATGAGGGCCCACCGTTTTTAAATATGCCGGTGCATGGGCGCTCTTGTGGTGGTCTTGAATTGATTTCGGATTTGATCACATGTTCACGTGGAGATCAAGTGGAAATCAACAGTCACGTCGGGAAATCAACAGTCATGTCTGGAAAGTATTTGACAGCGCTTTACTTTCAAGCTTCGAGTAGTGCATCGCTCTTGTGACCATTCGAAGATCGTGATCGCACACCACGGAGGGCACCATGGGGCGGGCTCCCTGCCCCACCGCCCAGCTAGATGCAACCGCGAGCGGTGGCTGGATGCAACCCCTTTGATCCTGCAACCTCAAAACTTGCAGTGGCAGCCGAACCCAACACTAGCCTGGGCGGTTTCTGCACCGATTGCCCCGCCAGCTTCGAGTGCTACTTTGACAGCAACCAGCCTGTCTTCCCCGAATGATACACCAGGCCGCAGGTCTCCTTCAATGCAGCTTCGGTCCGTTGATGCCGGCTGAATTTGTTCAGAACCCACACTATCTGGACAGCCGCAACATAGCAGGCCTTCCGATGTCTCGATGGGTAAAAAAGACAGTGGACGACCTGCAAATGGCTGGACAACAGCCCAACTCACATGATACCGTTGCACACAGTCTTGTATCAAGGATGGAATTCATATTGGATCCGTCATATCGCAGAGGGGAGGCCGACCTTCTTTGCAGGCTTTCGCAGTATGCTTGAGGTTGTCTTTTGCCAAGCTTTGTGCTCAAAGCTTCGAGATGAGAATGTATCGCTTGATGAACTGCCAACGCGTGTGTGTTTCAGGATCGCAGTCTGTGAGTTCCAGAAACGATGAGCGAGTTCACGCATCCCCGCAACTTGCAGCAAAAATGTGTGAGTTTGTGGTTGGTCTGTATCCTGCTGATTTCACCGGATCCGGAGTTGCAAAGACTGAAGGATCAAGTTCAGCTGTTGCAGAGAAGCTGGCGGGTTTTGAGAACACGCCACCACCCAATGACAAGGGGTCAGTATCACCAGTCGTTGAGCAAGATGAAGTTGCAGCGGCAGTAAGTCTTGTGTGCGTCGATTCTTGGAGTAAGAACAGAGTGTGTATTTCTACAGCATCTAAAGGAAAGGATCTCATTCAGCGTCTAGCTGAAGGAGTTACGTACATGAGCACTCAACTGCAGTATGGTTCTATCAACCTGAAAGCTGACAACGAAGGAACCATGACCAAGCTGAAGAATATAACCCAGAAGCAAAGATCCTCATTAGGACTAGGAACAGTTCTTCAGGATGCAGTCTCAGGTCGAAAGGAAACCAATGGGATGGCAGAAAGAGCCATCCAAACAATTCGTAGGCTAGCCTTGACCCCACTCAAAGGTGTAGAAGAGAACGCAGGAATTCTTGTTGCTCAGTTGGGCATTTAGGCATGCTAGTTGGACCCTCAATCGCCACCACAGGCATTCAGGAACTGGCATGACACCTTACGGGTGGATTTCAGGAAGGCCCTTCCAAGGACAATTGGCAGAGTTTGGTGAGAGCTTGATGGTCTTAGTCCACAGGACCAACATGAAGAACAGTAGGAAAGGAGATCCAATTTGGATGAGAGGAGTGTTTCTAGGAAAATCAGACAACGACTCGTACATCACATGGCACATGGATGGTGTCAAAACAAGTAGGAGTGCCAAGAGATGCCCTGAACACTTCGACGCCAAGGCCATCAGTAGTGCAAGAATCCACACTTGGGAAGTGAAGCACACTACCCTTGCAACCCGTGCAATTCCTCATTGCAGGACCAACTCTGGAACCGCCGCCACTCCTGGATGGCGACCCTAGCCAGGAACAACAGATTCAAGATGGACCTGTAGGAGCAACTGCAGGACCACTTGTTATCCAAGGCGGGGATCGTAGCTCAAAGCCGGGAGTTGTACCAATGAAGACCTACTTATCTGACAAAGCCAAGCAACAGCAAGCCATGCACAAAAGGAAAGCTGAAGAGGAACTTGAAGAACTTGAAGCAGGCCAACTTTCAGACGAAGCAGGTACTGACCCGTCATCCTCAAGCAAAACCATGTCCCAGAACCAAGGAACAGGTGCAATGTCTGAAGCATCAGAGGAACTTCTTCCAGACACCGCTATGGCTAGCGAACTTCTTTCCGCAAGAGGCCCAGCCCCGTTTAAGGAAACCAGAGTTTGAAGACGTAGGAACAGGACGCAAGATCCCGAAGCTCGATTCTCCAACCAAAAGTTGTCCTCCCTTCTCAGTAGGAATGGTCTATGAACACACAACGACGAGGCGTTGCCAGAACCAGACCCAGGAACAGATGAACTCTGGGAAGATGACTCTGATGATGGCTCTGACCGTGATCAGGACCTTTTCGGTAACGAGGACTCAGGACCTCCAAGTTTCCCAGAAGAGGAACTAAGGAGTCTAGAGTCTAGACCGCAGCCATGGTGACGGAGATCGATCGCCTTATGGCGATGAAGGCAGTTCAAAGGACAGCTCTTCACAACCTAGAGAAAGAAGAGGAAACAGGAACAGAGAGTGGAGAGAAAGAGAGAACAGGAACCAGGTGGCTTACAACCAAGTTGGTGTTCGGCTGGCATTTTAGAGAGAGGAAGTGGATCAGGAGAGCGAGGCTGGTAGCTCGTGAGTTCAAGACCCAGGAACACAGAACATCGTTGGTAAGGCTTATTCCCATTCTTGGGTTACAACAGGAACATTCTCTGTACTCCATAACTCCATAGATGTGAAGGACGCCTTCTGACAAGTCCCGCAAAGGAACAGATGTGCTTGCGAATTCCCAAAGGAGTATGTAGAATTTTTCAGTGAAGATGACGTAGATTGTAGGAACGATGGTTTGCTCTTGTTGAGAGTTTTACCAGGACACAGGGGTGCCGCTTGGCTTTGGAGCGACCACTTTGCTAGTGCACTTCAGGAACAAGACTTCAGTAGGTGTGTTGCTTGCCCTACTCTGTTTCGCGACAGCACGAACAGCATTCTGGTTGTTCATGTAGATGATATCCAAGCAGCAGGAAAGAGTAAACATCTTTAGCCAGTTCTCGAGAAGATAGGTAAGACCTACGAACTCAAAGTTGAAGGCCCTTTCTTGACAGAGCAGGAAATCATCGTAGGTGAGACTCATCATACCATCAGATTCCCCCAGAGGAAATTCTCGTATCACGACCATGAGCTTCAAATCACCTGTGACCCCAAGTGCTTGACCAAACTGAAAGAAGAACTGAAGCTTAAGACGAGAGCCTCAATTGTACCCAGGAGTCTCAACAACGCCTTGTCCCCAGGAGTCTCAACAGGTCGACAATGCAAACAGCCTCGAACAGGAACAAGCCGCATCATTCAGGAAATGCGTAGGCTACCATCTCGTGTACAGGTAAACCCCAAGAGGAATATCGAACTTGCATCGCAGCATACGTGATGGTTCTTACGACTTTGGTTCAGTCCCTGAGAAACAGGAACACTTGCTTGAAGTATTTAGTGACAGCGACTGGGCAGGAAGCAAAAGCTCTAGGAAAAGCACATCTTCAGGAACAATGTTTCTAGATGGACAGGTCATATATACATTTAATTTCAACGAGCCAGAAAAGCGTGGCATTGTCTTCAGGAGAAGCAGAGCATTTTGCAGGAGCATCAGCTGCATCTGATAGCATGTTGCTAAAGGAAGCAGTCCAGTTCTTGACAAGAAAAAGGTGCCAGGTACACTTGTATTTGGATTCTTCTGCAGCTAGAGGAATTATCACTAGGCAAGGTGTAGGAAGCGTCAAGCACTTGCAGATTAGGACTTTGTTATTGCAGGAACTTCACAAGAAAGGTACCCTCAGCGTGCACTTAGTAGGAACCAAGGAAAACGCAGCCGACATAGGAACCAAGCCCTTGTCAGGAAAACGCATCAAGCTTCTTTTGCATTGGCTAGGATTTCAAGATGAGAACGATGAACCTGTAGGAAGAGAGGAACTTCAGGAACACAGGACCCAGGAACAAGCCAAAGCTAGTGTCAGGATGATCAAGTCTAAAGAAAACTTTGCATTTGCAGCTTTGTTGTTTTCGGCTATTTCGGGAGTTTCGGAAGGTTTATTTTCAGGAACAGAAGCCAAGCCTAGGAACAGTCATGTTGCAGGACGTCATGTGTTCTGACACGAGTGCATATGCATGAGGACAGGCAAGGACAGAAGGAGAAGAGGGACAGGAAGCAGAAGAGGAGTTCAGTGACAGGAAGTACTTTGACCTCAGGATGCAAGCCGAGGACGACCAGCAGCCCTTCGAGGAGAACCCGGACGCGTACTACACGCAAAGCTACCCAGGACCAGAGGAATCAGGAGAGGCCTGGACAGGACAAGAAGAGGAAGAAGCACGAGAAGAGTACGCAGAGGAAAGCCCAAAGGAAAAGCAGAAGGAGACCGAAGAGGAGTGCGAACAGGAAAGGCAAATTCTACTGAAGAAGGCAAGAGAGAAGGAAGCCTTGAAGCAGGAAAAGTGCAAACAGCAGGAAGCAGGTTTCGTTTTCCCGGTGGACAAGAGCCAGGAGCGCAAGTACTGCACGGAAGGAGCAAGCATCTGGAAGGAAAACTACGTGACAAGCAAGAAGACGTGGTACAACTGGGACTACGAGTACAAGCACGAGAAAGGCAAAGGAAAGGAAGAGTACGAGAAGACCGGCAAAGGAAGAGGAAAGCCAGAAAAAAGGGACCCGGTTTCGTGCCCAGAGACGCCGAGGACGCAGCGTACTGGGAACGAATGGGAAAGCAGGAAGAAGAGAAGAGAAGGAAAAGAGAAGAGGAGAAGGCAGCCGAGGAAGAAAAGGAAAGGCAGAAGCAGAAAACGCGAGAGACGCTTGAGAGAGCAGCCGAGGAAGCAACCAGGAAAGAGGAAGCAGCAGCAGCCGCAGCAGCAGAAGCAGAGGAGAAGAAGAAAGCAGCAGCAGAAGCAGAAGAAAAGAATAATTAAGAAGGCAGCAGGAGCAGCAGCAGCAGAGGCAAGGAAGAAGAAGGAAGCAGCCGCAGCAGAAGCAGAGGAGGAAAAGAAGAAGGAGAAGGAGGTGAACGAGGCAATGGCCGAAGCGCTCGACAAGGCAACACAGAAGCAGGACAAGCAGAAGAAAGCAGCAAAGGCGGAAGACAGGATCAAGGATCTGGAGGAAAAGATGAGGAAGATGATGGACAAGTACGAAGCAGATCAGCAAACCATTGCTGAGTTGAGAGCGGAAATATCAACCACAAGGAGCGAGACAGGAAGCGCAGCAGGAAGCACAAAAGGAACAGACAAGGAAAGCGCCAAGGAAATGGAACCTGGAAAGAGCAGCAGCGGCACAGAAGTGCCAGAGGACGAGGGCCCGGAGACCAGAGCTGAAGGACCGCAGGACCCGAGCGCCTTCGTGAGAGGCGAGTTAAGGAACAAGCCAGACGACGAGAACTATTACGCGGTCTACCCGTTCAACAAGGAAGAGTTCCAGTGGAAGTGGAACAGGAACACGTTCTTGTGGTACTTCTACTCCGTGAAGGAACGACGTTGGATCAGGCAAGAAGGAAAGGACAGTAAAGGAAAAGAAACGTGCCTAGCACAGGAAAAGAAGTGGCTGGAAAAGAATGGAAAAGGAAAGAAGTGAAAAGGAGGAAAGGAAGACCAAGGCAAAGGAGAAGGACAAGAAGAAGAAGGCACAGGAGAAGAAGGAGGAAGCAGCAGCGTTGACCCGCACTTCCAGTGAAGGCCAGCAGCAGGAGAGCAAAAGTGAGGATGGGATCAAAGGTCGTGGACCAAAGAAGCAAAGAAGGAAAGTAGCAAAGACGCAAAGAAGCAAAGGAGGAGCAAAGGAAAGATGTGAAGCTTCCGGCCCAAGGACCTGTGAGTCTGCAGCCCTTTTTCAAAGCAACAGGACTGGATGGCGTATCCGTATCCGTCCGTACCTTTTTAGGAACTGTTTGTTTTGCGTGGCAAGGACGATGATCCAAGAGACCTCACAATTTGTTTTTGCAAAGGAACTTTTCTGTACAGGAAGTAGCAACCTTGGAGAAGATTGCAAGTGGACGTTCAACGTCTGCGCACTAGCAAGGAACAAAGAGTTTTCGTGCAGTGTTTTTCAACGGAAAGAGACCAACTCTGACTGGAACAGTCATTCCCTAGTTTCGAAGGCGGGGTGTTTAAACATTACCGCAGTGTAGGAACCTACAGAGTGCATAGGAAAATGTACAGGAACTGCTTGAGCCGACCGTCAACCTTAGGCTCAAGGACCAGGACACAACCGACGCGCCGCAAGGAAAAGTGTCGAGCGTGCACAGTGTCTAGGAACCCGTAGTGAAGCCCGTTATTTAACAGATTCAATGTGGTGTTCGAAAGCTCGACATGTGGCTGTGTCGTTACAACTTGGTGGGTTGCAGGTCGCAGACAGTGAGAAAAAGAACAGTAGGTGCATCTTTCGTGCTTTATAGTCTTTCGCGATGTCGTGTGCTCTTGCTCACGAAGACCCATCCTTGCGGTCATTGCTTCACGTATTGGTGCCATGTCCTGCCTTTGATACATAAGCATCGACAGTGCTTGTGTTCTTCACGGCCGGGTGCGCATGTAGCATCACACCATTCACAATACAACTGGCAATGCGAGCGGCTGTTCATGTAGGCCTCACTGACACGAACAATTTCGGTGCAGCGTAACATACATCGCATCACCAGGATAAGTGGGGTGCTCTGTCACGCCGCTTGCACAGCATATTGCGCAGCATCCTCAGATATCTGATCGATTTGATGCGATATGTCGTCACCACTAAGATCAACTGAACAGCGATGTCGGGCAATGCGCAGAAAAGGTCTACGTCAGAGTAGAGTGCGAGCAAAAACATGAATCAAGTGAGTCAGAAGCATTCAACTGCAGGGCAATGCAACAGGCCAGTTTTTTGGAAACTTCGCGTAAGCAGAACGTGGAATTGCACAGAAGAGAAACGCCTGACAGGAACTTGATAGAAAATTTGTCCGTCAACCTCATCCTCGTCACCTTCTGAATCACCATGATAGCAGTATGGGGCATTGGCTGCAATGGACAATCGAGGAACAGTCTCCAGCTGCAAGAAAGGCGTGCCTTGTAGTAGGTCGGGGTTGTTTCATTCGTACCATCCAGGCTGAATGGACTGCTGCAAACTGTACGCACAAGGGTAGACATGGAGTAAGAGCACGGCCCCGCCGGTGATTTCTGATTGTGCTACAGGTGTACCGCCTGAACGCAGTAAGGTCATGTTAGGTCTGAGGGCAGTATCGTATGAACAGGAAAAGGATCTGTGGACGCACTCTTCTCTTGCTTGACGGAAATATGCGGAGGAATTGCGCCTAGACTGGTTGATCACAGCATTCCTGGTTCATGTTCACAGTCTGATGAAACGGCCCCACCTGGGGCCTGTTCGTGTATTTCTGCTGTACATGCGCATGATCTTGCATCACGTCCTTGTTGTTTTCCAC